AGCTAACCTGTCAGCTAACCTGTTAGCCAACCTGTCAGCTAACCTGTTAGCTAACCTGTTAGCTAACCTGTTCTACTGCAGAGTAAAACAGTAAGAACTGTCGGTCTACACTTCACATGCATAAAGTCACTTCAATAAACATTGAAAATCTGACAAAAACAATCTGACCAACTGGATTAAAAGTGTTTAAGACCATCAAACAAACGTAGATATCAGACAAAGATAACCAAAGTAAACACAAAATGCAGTTTTAAATGATGATTTTATTTATCAAAGAAAAGGGACTGTCCAAAGCTGCCTGGTCCTGTGTGAAGTAATCGTCCTCTAAACCTAGTACCTGGTCTGGCCGCCCTCAGCAGGAACGACTGAAATCAGGAGTTTTCTACAACTGTCAATGAGTCCTTCACATCTCTGGAGATATCCTGGCCCACTCTTCTTTGCAGAGTTGGAGGGTTTTCCAGCATGAACGGCCTTTTTAAGGTCATGCCACAGCTTTTCAATCAGATTCATGTCCAGACTTTGACTGGACCAAAACCTTTGTTGTTGTTTTCTTTAAGCCACTCAGAAGTGGACCTGATGGTGTGTTCTAGATCGTTGTCCTGCTGCAGAACCCAAGTGTGCTTCAGTTTGAGGTCATGAACCAGATGGCCAAACATTCTCCTTCAGGACTTTCTGGTAGAGAGCAGAACTCATGGTTCCACCAATTGCAGCGAGTCGTCCAGGTCCTGAAGCAGCAGAGCAGCTCCAGACCATCACACCACCACCACCATGTCTGACTGCTGCTGTGATGGTCCAGGTCCTGAAGCAGCAGAGCAGCCCCAGACCATCACACCACCACCACCACCATGTCTGACTACTGCTGTGACGTTCGTTTACACACACCTTCCAAAAAGTTCAGCTTTCATCTCGTCAGTCCGTTGAATATTCTCCCAGAAGTCTTGGGGATCATTCAGATGTTTGTCTGCAGCAGTAAGACGAGCCTTGATGTTCTTGGTCAGCGGTGGTTTTGGCCTTGAACTGCTGAACCGTAACTGAGGCCAGGGAGGCCTGCAGGTCTTTAGATGTTGTCCTGGTTCCTCTGTGACCTCCTGGATGAGTCGTTGCTGTGCTCTTGGAGTCATTTTGGTCGGCCGGCCTCCTGGGAAGTTCCACCACTGTTCCATGTGTTCTCCATCTGTGGATAATGGTTCTCAGCGTGGTTCTCTGGAGTCCTTCAGCTTTAGAAATGGCTCTGTAACCATGTCCAGACTGATAGATGTCAGTTACTTTATTTCTCTTCTGTTCTTGAATTTCTTTTTGTTGCAGCTTTTTGAGACCTTCTGGCCGACTTCATTCTGTCAGACGGGTTCTATTGAAGTGATTTCTTGACTGAACAGGTCTGGAGGTCATCAGGCTTGGCCGTGGTCAGAGAAGTTGAACTCAGCTTTCCAAGAAATGTAATGAGCCACAGTTAATTCATGATTTAATTACTTTTTCCACACAGAGCCAGGTAGGCTTTGATAGCTTTTTTCCCTTAAAACATGAAATAATCATCATCTAAAAACTGCATTTTGCGTTTACTTTGGTTATCTTTGTCTCATGTTTACATTTGTTTGATGGTCTTTTAATTTAAGTGGGGGAAATATTAAAAAAATAAGAATTCGAGAAGGAGGCAAATACTTTTTCACGGCCCTGGATATTAAAATTGAAATAAAACTATGAAAGTAATTTAAAACTACATTGAAGCTCATTTTCAAACTAAATTAAAACGTATATTTAAACTGGATTAGAATCATATAAAAGGACAATTTGCTTTAAATTGGAATAAAACTCATATGAGCTGGATCCAAAGTTATTTTCAAACTAATTATAAGTCAGAATTAAACTAAGTAAAATTTAGATTTAAACTGGAATAAAACTCATTTAAACTAAAACTCAAACTTCAGCCAAATTAAAACTGATACTAAAAAATAAATTAAAACTCAGACATACACTTGATTTAAACTCAATTAAACTGGATAGCAACTCTGATTCACACTGGATTTAAATTTTGATTTAAACTGGATTAAAACTCAGATTTAAACTGAATTTAAACTCAATTAAACTGGATAAAAAGTTATTTAAACTAGATAAAATCTGTGATTTTAAACTGGATTCAAACTCAGATTTAAACTGGACAAAAACTTTGATTTAAACTGGATAAAAACTCCAAATTAAACTAGATTAGAATTTAGCATCAAACTGGATTAAAACTCAGAATTAAACTGGATTACAACTCAGACTTAAACTGGATTAAAACTGTGATTTAAACTCAGTTAAAACTCTGATCTAAACTGGATTAAAACTCTGATATAAACTGGATTAAAACTCTGATTTAAACAGGATTAAACTCAATTAAACTGGATAAAAACTGATTTCAACTGGATAAAAACTGTGATTTAAACTGGATTAAAACTCTGATTTAAACTGGATTAAAACTCAGAATTAGACTGAATTAAAAATTCAGGCTTAAAGACCTGAAGATGGAAACAGGCTGAACACTGAACGCTTTACTGTCATTTATGTAACCTCCATCCAGAAGAAGCCTGATGGTGAAATAGAAATAAATAAAAATCCAAAGTTGACATGTTTTGGAGCTGAACCGATGCCGGCTGTGAAACAGATCCTCAGCTTAGCGATCATCTTCATCACATAGCCGTCATGCCTGTGACTGTAAAGCTCAGCGCACAGTAATGAAGCCGGCTCAGACTGTACATGTTGTACCGGAACAGAATGAGGGGGAACAGGTTTGGGGGAAATGTCAGGTATGAAATCATGTATCGTGTTTTGTGAGCCAGCGGAGGATAAAAGAGGAGAATCTGAGCGACGGACAGCTTCAGTCGGACCAGAGCAGGACCTGAAGGACCTCTTCTACCTGGACGTCCAGAGAACCTTCAGCAGGTAACATCACCTGAGTCACTGGAGCTCGACATCACTGGGACTGCTGCTCCTGCAGAACCGTCTTTATTCTGCACAGGAACGAGCTTTATTCCACAGTATTGGGGTCTTTGTGACTTGATTTATTACAAATCTGTGAGAAATTTTAACCTCTGAAGTCCAGCGTGATCTCTTCACCGAGGCCTCAGACGTGGGGAGAAGAAAATTTGAATTTTTTTAATTTAAAAACTCTGCTTTAACCCACAGAAAAATTCATGTTTAAACTGGATCAGAACTCAGAATTAAACTGTATTAGATCTCACATTTAAACTGAATTAAAATTCATATTCAGACTGGATTCAAACTTGTATCTAAACTGGATTAAAGCACAGATGTGAACTGGATTAAAATTTAGGTTTAAACTGTATTAAAGCTCAAATTCAAACCAGATTAAAACTCAGAACTCAACTGGATTAAAACACAAATCTTAACTAAATTGAATTTATATTTAAACTGGATTAAAGATCAAATTCAAACCAGATTAAAATTCTGATCTAAACTGGATAAAAACACATATCTTAACAAAATTAAATTTACATTTAAACTGGATTAAAACTCAGAACCAAACTGGATTAAAGCTCATATTTGAACTGGACTAAAACTCATATCTTAACTAAATTAAATTTATATTTAAACTGGATTAAAACGCAGATGTGAACTGGATTAAAATTTACTTTTAAATTGGATTAAAACTCATATTTTAACTAAATTCAATTTATATTTAAACTGGATTAATTATCCTGTTATAATTGTTTTCTTTGTCCCAAATAATCAAGACTTTAAAAAGAAGAACGCCACGATTGTTGGAGTTCATTTATTGTAATTATTAGTTGTTGTTTTTTTAAATAAACAGAACTTTTACAGAATCATATTGTTCCATAAGAACTTTGTCATTTTTTAGCCTTGGTTCCTTTTTTATTTTATTTTTTTTTTTGCAAACTTTTACGAAGTGAAATTCAAATTGTAATGTTTCAGATCATGAGGCTGGAGCTCAATTTCAGTTTATTCAAAAAGCTGCATCCTTTTGTCTCATGCTCCTGACTTCCTGTCCTTTAGCGAGCAGCCTGATAGATATCCACAGTCAGTGTGAATTCTTGTGCGTTCTTCATGGTGGACCAGCTAACATCTGTAGGAACAAGACGAGAGATTGTGGAACATCTGGAACTGTACACTTTTCTGTTTTCATGAACTACTGAGTGATAATCTAAACATCTGGAAGGAATTTATTATAATTTAGGGGTCTCCAGTGTCCCCGCGGGTATTTTAAATCACCAAAAATATTAAGAAATAACGTAGTTTGTTGGCAATAATCTATAAGCTTTCAAATTTAAGTAATAAAAAACTAATTTGGGCAAAGTTGAGTATAAGCATAAACTATAAAAATGTACATTGTGCTGGGAAAATATAAATATAAAATGTAATAAATAATAATAACAGAGTTGTAATTGTGGTGGATGTAGCTGTTGGAGTAAATCCAGATGTGTCTCCTCCAGCTCTGATCATCATGTTGCTCCTCCTCCTCCTCCTGGTTCACCTGGCAGGTAAGAACCCGTCACCTCTCCTCCGTCTTGTTTCCTGACCGACGTCACTCACCGACCGTCTCCTCGTCTGCAGGAGCTGCTCAGGATTTCACTTTTCCTGCTCGGCTGAACGCCAGCGAGTGTCCCGTCCTGTACTTCGGAGAACTCTACACCTCAGTTTACGTGAGTGGAGCAAACCTCCGAGGACGGAGAACGTAGGAACGTCAGCGGTTCTTATTCTACTAACGAGTGTTTAAAAGGGTCCCGTTAACTGGATTTAGATTCTGTAATACAACATGAAGACGTTCTGTTTGGAAGAATCAAACATACAGAGAACATTGAGTGCTAGAACCATCCAATATTGAAGGACATGAAACCTAAAGTCCACATGAAGGAACCAACTTGAACCCCTGGATGACTGACCGCTCAGTGAGCAAACCTAGAATTAAATGTCCAGCATTCAGGTGAATCTTTACGCACCAGTTTCAGAATGTTTTGTCATCTGAGGCCTCCATAACATCTGGAAAACGTTTAGAAAATGTTGTTTCAGAACGTTCTGCCATTAAAAGTTCCACAGAAGAACGTTCTATACTGTGTTCCCTGCCACCTTCACTATATCAGAACGTTCTGTCATGTGAGGTCTCCAAAACATCTGGAAAACATCTCTGAACTTTGTTTAAGAATGTTCTTCCTTTGTTACCATGGAACACTGTGGAAACGTTTTCAGATTCTGTAATGTGTTCCCTCAACAGCATCCCAAAACATCTTTAGAACATTACAGACCAAATGTTCCACCTTTGTTAGTATCTCACAGCACAGGAACGTCTTATAAAGAACGTTCTGTCGTCTGAGGTCTCGATAACACCTGGAAAATGTTTTTTAAATATTGCTTGAGAACGGTCTTCCCTTGTCATCAATGGTGAAATGTTCTATAGAAGAACGTTCTATAAGCTGTTCCTCCAACAGAAACACAAAATGTTCCACCTTCAATACATCACATTACAGGAACGTTACAAAACGTTCTTCCATCTGAGGCCTCGATAACATCTGGAAAATGTTTGTTTGAGAACGTTCTTCCTTCCATCATGGAACACTGTGAGAATGTTCTATAATGTGTTTTCTCAGCAACATCCTCAAAACATTGCAGACAGAATGTTCCACCTTTGTCAACATATAACGTTACAGAAACATTTTACAAAAAAATCTAAATCGTCTGAGGCCTCAATAACGTTTTAAAACGATTTTTTAAAAAGTTGCACTGAGAACATTCGTTATTCTAGAACATCGTCTATGTTCCTGACAATGTTGCAGCTAAAAATTAACGTTGTGGGAACGTTCTCTGGTGGCAGGGATCTGTTTTTCTGACGTTAAAGGCAGTTTGATGAGCTCCATGAGCTGAGCTGCAGATGGTTCTATCTTCTCAGGTGAACGTCACCGAGGGGAACATCGCCGTCTGCTTCAAAGATCACTACAGACCAGGAGGAACCGGGAACGACTGCTTCCTGACGGCTCAGAGAGGATCGTCCGCCGGTCGCTGGTCCGCTCAGGACTCGGTGGAATCGGCGGGTTCCGATTACCACCAGAACCTTCCTCAGATCAAAGCTGCTTCAGGATGTTCCTTCAACCTGCAGCTCGGAGACCAGACGAATCCCGCTAAGGTGTCTGAGGTTCTGATTCATCCGGATGTTGAACTCGGGAACTTTGAAAAACGCTAACAGTCTTGGCATTTGTGTTCCAGATAAACATCACGTTCCGCAAATTTGGCACCCAGTCGGCTGCACAGCTGGTTCTGGATGAAGGGAACCGGACCGTGAGTACACGAAGGAGGCGGTTCTGACTCTATAGGACAAACTGTAGAACATCATAAAGGAACCAACGTTTCTGGTTCACGAGTTCCTGTCACCTGAGTTCGACGGATGAACAGACGAGAGTTGTTTTTTTCAGCTAAATGAACCTAAAATGATTCGACTAGATGAACGTTGTTTCTCTGTTTCTGTCATTTCTGAATTTTAAATAGTCCTGAAGAACATTTCAGATTTCCACATCATCATTTTTTCTGCTTCACTTTCACCGTTTGTGTGTTTAAACAGGTTTCTGCAGTTTAATTCCTCATAATTCTGGTTCCACGTATCATTCATTCAGTTCAGCACGTTTACATACTTCATTATAGATTCTTAAACTAACTTTGAAATGTAAATCCATTGGTGACTCGTTAACCTGACGTTTAACAATCCGACAGCCTTGCTATCCGACATAAAAGAAGGTTTTACATTTAGTGTCGGGTTTTCTGGAGCTCTGATAATCCCAGATATCCTGAAGTCTCTGTAGTTGTTTTCGAAGCTACTACCTTAAATTAAAGGAGGTAAAACATTATTTTCAGCTGACGTACAAACATAACCATGAAAACTCCAAACCTGACGCGTTGCTTTAGTTCAGGCAGGTTGTGATCTGCTGATATCTTTAGTTTTGGTCTTTATTTATTTAGTTTTTATCCAGTTTTGTCTTTTATTCGCTGCGTCTGCGTCTCGTAGGTCATTACTCGTAAACCCTCACCACCGCGGTTCGTTTGCTGTCGTTTTAATTGTGTTGCTGCTCTGCAGGCGCTGCAGGCCGACGTGCAGGTCGAAGGAGAGGTTGTGCGTCGATGGAATGGATCTGGCTATTACCTGGACACCAGCGGCTGCAGACGCTCCGGTACGCAGAGTCAGAGAACCGCTTTTCATTTCATTCATCCAGCTGTTGAGGTTTCTGCCTCCATCCAACACATCCAACGTATTTAGTTGATGATAGATGATATTCTGATTTTACTACTTTTCTAATTTGCTGGGCTTCACTTGGAGAATGTTTATATATATATTATTTCAAACTGTAGTTTATTGAACAATTTACTGTTATTTCACAGATATTCCCTGTTTAGTCACATTACAGATGATATCTATAAAATGAGAGGATAAAGGATCCATTCATGTACATGTTTATTTTATAAAAATCTGTATTTTTATAAACAGTATGTTGGGTTTTCTCACGTTAATCCGCAAAATTACATTTTATTATTTGTTTTACTGTATTAAATCCACAAAAGACGTGTTTATTTTGCAGATATTTGCTTTTATTTGAAAGTAAAATTATTTATATTAAACCTGTTTTTTAATCTGCTGATTTACAGATTTTTTTTTTGTCTTACTTACAGATATCTAGTAAAAACACTCAAAAATTCATGTTATAATTCAACAAAAACAGGCCAAAATTCTCAATAATGTCCACATTAAAAATCTGTGTTTTTATAAACAGTATGTTGGGTTTGTTGGGTAAGTCCGCAAAATTATTATTATTATTATTTTAACTGCAAATCCACAAAAAAACAAGTTTATTTTGCAGATATTTGCCTTTATTTGGAAGTAAAATTATTTATATTAAGCCTTTTTTTTTTAATTCTCTGATTTATAGATTTTTTTTTTTTTTTTCTTAATTAGAGATTTTTTTTTTTTTTTTTTTTTTTAATTAAAATTTTTTATTTCATTCATCGAGTTAAAACAAAACAAAACAAAACAATTAAACATGACAGAAACACTCCTGAATGAACGGGAGCAGAAAGAAGACGGGATGACATCCAGTAAAAACGCAAAAAAAAAAAAAATAAATGACGTTAAAATAAAACTAAAACAGGCCAAAACTCTCAATAATGTCCACATGAGAATTTGGAATTTTTACAAATAGGAATTAATTCTTTTATAGTAGAAATAATGTTATTTTACAGTTAGTTGACTTTTTTTTTTTTTTTTTAAGAAAATGTAAGTAATGATTGAAAATTGTACTATTTGACTGATTTTCCAGCTTTAGAGAAACCTGCTGACTATGCAAATAAAAACAACGTGTCACCGCCGTCACACCAGAACCAGCAGGAACCTCAGAGACCGGTCCAGATATCTTCACGTGTTGCTGCTTGGTGTGGATGAGTCGACCCTTTAAAGCCAGTTCATCTTGTTCTAACGTCTGGGTTTGTTCCAGGTGTGTTCTATGAACCGGGAACAGCTGCGTGCGACTCTGAAGCCTCCTCCATCACCTGTGATGCGACGTCTGTCCTCAGCACCGCCGCCTGTGGCCCCGGAGAGCGTTGTCACGGCAACGGACAGTAAATAACCCAGATTGATATCTCCATAACGAGGGTGGTCAGTGTATGTATTTGTTCCCATTCCCTTGGCTGTGCTGATTTTCAGGTGCACCTGGATGGCCACCTGCACCGCCACCGCCTCCACCGTCATCGACCTCCACGGCAACGTCACCTCCGTCCCCGACCGCTGCGCCTACACGCTGCTGGCCGAGGCCGGAGTCCAGGTGCTCGCCGTTTTCCGGGAACGTCGCCGCTTAGACGTCAGTTTCTTGGACCGAGTGATCCTCCGTCTGGACGAGCAGAACGTTGACATCCAGCTGGGGCAAGGAGGCCGGGTTCAGGTAACAACACACCTGTCTGATCAGGAATCAGGGCAGACGGAGACGTTTCCTGTTTGTGGCGAGTTATCCTGCAGCAAACGCAGTGTTCCAGTGACATGTTACTAATAAATAAAATTAATAATAAGCTCAAAACTGCAGTTCCTCTAACGTCCACTAGAGGCTCCACAACCAGGTCAGTCCTCCACAGACCTTCATGTTAAAATGTCCAACTTCACAGCAGAAATAAACACGCTTACAGCCTGGTACGACAACTGTTTTGGTCTTCACAGCTAATTTTCTTCAGTCACAACAAAAGTACAGGAGGTGAATTTATGGTTTCTGTTTCTTCAAGTCTACATGCGACCTAGATTTCGTCGCCTGCCCGAGTCTGCAGCTGTTCATGCAGGAAAGCAAACGCTCGCTACGAGGAGATTCTCCATCATCCACACCTTTAGAACTCACCGTGGAGTAGTCGCTGCGGTGGAGCTTTGATTTGTTCCTGGTTTTGAAGTTCTATCTTCTCCAGACATCTTGTGCTTCGTCGACCCACCGATCAGCACACCTCAGATACAAACACTGACCCGGCGCTGCAGTCCAGTCCTGGACAAAGAGTAACGCCGCCAACGAAAACTTGCCATAAATTTAGGATTTAAAATAATTTAGGGTGCCCGTATAGCTCACCTGGTTGAGCGGGTGACCCATGAACAGGGGCTACAGTCCCCGACGCAACGGTTGTGAGTTCGAATCCCGCTCATGACCCTTTGCTGCAGGTCTGTCCCCATTCTTCTCCCCCCTTTCCTGTCTCTCTCTACTGCTCTAAATAAAGGCAAAAGCCCAAAAAAATATATTTAAAATAATTTAAAAATCCTTAAAACGTACAAGGGATCATTTCTGTTTTTGTCCAAATTAATGTTTCAAATTACCTCAATGTCATTTTTAAATCTCTGAAAGATGTTCTGGTTATTTCTGTAGAATTATTACTGGAAAAGCGTCAGAACATAATCACTCACTTGTTCCTCAGGTTGGTTCTTGTAGGTTCTTCCAAGATGATTTCTGACACCTAACTTGTCTCGTAGCTTTGAGAAAATCCGTTAAAATAACACATCAGAACGAGCGGATCGATCAGGAACGCTGTGCCGTGACTTCTGGAAGCCATTCGTTGTGTGATTTTTACGAAATTTGCCAAAAGCTGCGTTAAAAATCCCCGTTGAAATGAATGGGAGGTGCTAAAACCAGCTGTCTGTGGAACAACTCTGGAAGGAAGTATAGAAGAAACTTCATTCAGAGTTTAAACGGGTCACAAGTGTTTGATGGTTTTTATGGTTCTTACACAGTCCTAGTTTGAGTTTTATGAGTTCTTTGAAAATCCAGAATTTTTCTTCAATCCCACTCAAACTTTCCTGAGTTTTCTACTCAACTTTAACATCCGAAGTGCAAAGCAATAGTCTTTATCAACATCCAGAATTGGTTTGAAGATTCCAGTTTTGGATATCTACGGTTCTGTCTACTGGTAAATGTTCTGATGTCTGCAGACAGGAGGCCGTCTGAACATAGAACCAGCCCTTTAACTCTCCAGCACCACGAACAAAATGAGCCATAAAGTAGTTTGACTCTGTGTTTTCTGCCCTCCGCTGCAGCTCAACGACACCGATCTGATCCTGAACGGTTCGCCTCTGCAGCGTCACGGCGTCGAGCTGCTGAAGGACCGGACCGGAGTCGCTGCTAAGATCCTGTCCTCCTCCTTCAACACCTCGGTGTTCTTCGACGGCTACACGGCTCAGATCCACGTGATGGGTACCGAACAGCCGCCGGCACGCCGTCGCACAAATGTGGTTTTTGACACTGAAATCTGATCGATGACAGTTTGTAGGTTTTCTGAAACTGAGAATAAAATCATTTCAGCCATGAAAACAGAATCCACAGGAACAGCAGCTTGTTGAGTCCACAGGAGGCTCTGGTAGGTTTGATCCTGCAGGAATAGGAGGGATGAAGGACGCTGGTGGTTGAAATGTCCACTAGAGAGCAGGTAAAGAACCTTAAACCAGGATAAAGTCCAGCGTGTAACCACAGAGCAGCTCCAGTTAATGTAGAAACACTTTCAGATTATTGGCACTGCTGGAGGAGGAGATGCAGCGTTTGTTGAGGTGCAGGGTGACAGGAGAGGGTTTTCAGTTTGTACGGTGGCCTGTTTAGGACACTTCAGCTCTTCACTGTGCGCCTGTTTGAATCAGCATCTGACTGCTTCTTCTTCTCTAAAACCGTCCAGGATCAGGTGACAGACCTCTGCAGGGTTTATGTGGAAACTCCAGCAGAGCTCTGAGTGAGCTGAGGCTCTACGAGTTCAACTCCTCCAGGTGAGTCCGTCGTCACCTGGAACGGGCCGCTGTCGGAAAAAAGACTAGAAGAAATACATTCATTCAATGTTTTTGTTAATAAATGTCTCATTTTAAAAGACTGCAAGTAAATCTGTTTAAAATTATCAAACTAATACGACTTTTTTTATTACAAGGCATTAATAAAAGGAAATATTTGTCAAATTACAAGAATTTTCTGAACTTATTTTAACAGTCTTAAATTTATTTATTTTATTTTTTTAAAATACAGCTTAAAAAAATCTGTAAAACGTTTTTGTGGTCATTTTGTATGTTTTTGTGGTTGTTTTTTGTGTATTTGTAGTTGTTCCTGTGTTTTTTGGGGGTTGTTTTGTGTGTTTTGCAGTTGTTTTGTGAGTTTTTCTGGTCGTTTCGTGTATTTTTGTAGTTGTTTGTGAATTTCTGTGGTCATTTTGTGAGTTTTTGTGGTCCTTTTGTGTTTTTGTGGTCGCTTTGTGTGTTTTTGTAGTTGTTTTGTGAGTTTTTCTGGTCGTTTTGTGAGTTTTTGCGGTCGTTTTGTGTGTTTTTGTAATTCTTTTGTGTGTTTTTGTGGTCGTTTTGTG